TTTTGCTGTCGGGCAATTGGTGCCAAATTTGCAGCAAAAACCGCACAAAGCCTGCAGCGTAGCAAGGTCTGCGCGGTTTCTACTGCAAATCTGCAGCAATTTTCCGACAACAAGATCTGCCGCATATCTGGCGGCAATTTGGCAAGATTTGATATAACAAATCCTGTATCAAATTTGTTATCTATTTGCCATCAAAAGTTGATAGCAACCTCTGCTCGAAATATGTTCGCGCAGGTTTGGCTATCTGGGATAAATTATGAAAACACAATTTCATATAACTCCACAATATTAGTATAAAAACAAAACTTATTATGTTCTATATATAAGTTATATATTCTTCTCTATATTATTTTTTATATAATATTAATATATAAAATTTATTAATATATTAAATTATATTAATATATAAAATTTACCTTTATATAGTCCGTGATATAGAAATACAGTAAATATGGACGGTATTGTAGGCAATTGATAACTACCCAGTAAACATGCATGTCTAAAAGATGTCGAAAAGATATTTAAAAGATATCTTATGCAACATTTTGTTGCATAAGACGTTTTTTAGATATCTTTTCGACATCTTTTAGACATGCATGTTTACTGGATATTGGTTATTTGGTTTGGTAATATAATCGGGGCGGAATGTTATTATACAAAATGTTATCTATGCTATGCGTCATCTTTCACATTTTAGCCAAGTCTGTTGATAGTTTAAAAGTTCACGTAAAAATGTTTTTCTTTGCAGGGAAAACACTAATATTCTCATAAACTGAAAATTCAGGTGAAATTATTTAGTTTCCTACGGTTTGATGCTAGAGGGATAATATTTGTACTAATCGTTATATTTATATACATTATATTTTAATAATTATATTATAGATATAAATTATAATTTTATATTACTTTTTTAATATTTTATACATCATATTTTATGTTGTGCCCTCACAGATATGTTACTACATGATAAGATTATGTCATATTTCACGTGAACCTTTTTAGTGAAATTGTGAAAATGTGAAAAATGAAAAGTACACATAAGATTCATGTGAAAGATTCATGATCGACCCCCAGATCGAAAAAATCCAATT